GTTGCACGTGGGAAAAAAAACGCGCCTGATTTAAATGTCACACCTGAACGCTCACATCCTTTTAATTATGTTTGAAATTATGAACATTGCTCAACATCATGAAAATTAAACCTTATTTTCAATAAGCAATCCTGAAAAATATTTGGGGGTGCTTAACTTTTTTCCAGGTGTATACATTATAAACCGTATATACCTAATACTAATAGCTTAACCAATATTAAAAAATAATCATGGTCATCAACTAAATATATAAAGTTATTAATAAATGATATGAAATAATTTCTGAATCATCATAACACCATACCATAATTTCGGGTTTCCTTTAGTCATGTGACCTAGGATGATCAGGGTACACCTGGACTACCGTTTTGACTACTTATTTGGTTCTTGAGTGTTGGATGAAGGCCACGTTTATTCATCAGTAACTAGTAAAACCCGTTCTTTCATCACACAGTTACTGAATGCACGTAGCGATAGTCATACCATAATTCCGGTCCTGACGACTGCATTTCAATTTTCAGCTCCATTGGTCTACCACATAGAATTATAACAATTTAAATGTACATACTTTAATTTTTCAACACCATGGTTGGATATTATAGTAATTATATTCTCAAAATTGTGTTCAAATACTTTTTTTAAGTACTGATAGAGCTAGGATCTAACTTTTATTTAACGTTACTTTTATTACATATTTACCAAATATTTAAGTAAATTTCAATTATACTTCAGGAAAGATATTAAGAATTGAATTTGCATAGTTAACAGTGAATAGTTTGGCTTACCAATAAGTTTAAGAACTTATAACGCTGGAAATCGTTGTTCGATACCTGCGATGACTAAAGCATAATGCAAGATTTACACTTCACAACAGACAAACATATTTTTCGTCGCGGAATTTCACAAAGAAATAAGTTTTTAATACAATAGAGTTACAAAACCGTGCAAAAAAAACCCAACAATAGCTACAAATTGTAAAATCGGGACAATTATAGTCACTGTAATGATTACCAATTCCTTGAAATGTAATATAATTTTAAATTTAATTCAAAGTGACATTGGTAGAGTCGCAAACAAAGTTGGTATACATTGAGACTTAAATAAAAACTAATGATCACTAAAATTCAATGTTTCATTATCAATATTTACAATTGTGTTTATATATCATGGGAAAAAATAAAATAGTCACAAATTAGAATTAGGTCGGAATATTGGTATTTATCAAAATTAATTTAAATATCGTTACAAAGAATTGGCGTAGTGCCAATTATTTCGCTTCCAAAGAACTACAATAAAAAAAATTTTGGTATGGTTTTTATTGTCATATATTATCCACAACATAAACTATTTTGTGAAATCGTGTCAGCTTTTAGCGCCATTTTTTAACCAAAAAAATAACTGTAATCATGTAATGAAACTGGGTAGTATTTATCGTTATCTGTTACCTCAAAAACAAACTAATTCGTGTAAATGGCAGTTTATTATCATTTGAAACTATGATAATAGCTGACAAATCATTGTACTTTTTTTATTGATTTAATTAAACATATGCAAGAAAAGTTTTAATTAAACTATTCTTCCAAGAAATAAACTACTCAAAAATGTTTAAATCGAAAGAAAAAGGATGGAAAAGTAATATTTAAAAAATCATATATGGAAAACGTTCAATATTTTGCCAACTGTTATCTATAAACATAATTATTATATTAATTTAATACAGTTTATAGGGTAATTGTCATAATTTACAATTAAATGCAAAACATAATACTAATTAATTCTGAATTAAAGTCACTGAATCATGCCAAAAACAATATAATTTCAGAAACAGTACTTGATTAAAACTGTTAGATTGCGAAAAAGTGTTTCCATAATAATTTTGTATTATGAAACTGAACAATATTATTTTATACCAAGTGGTAAAAACGTAAATAATATTTATATGATGAAAAAGCAGTAATAGTTTAATACGTGAAATTAGTAAGTTGAAAAAAAATTCCTTTTTATCCTTCAAAAATGTGATCTGATTACATAAAGAAGACTAAATAAATTTTATTCATTTGTACAAAATAAAAATTGTTTTAAAATACTTTTATATATGCTGATAGAGCTGCGGCCTAATTTTTATTTAACATTACTTTAATCAGATGATTACCAAATATATAAATAATCTATATGATATATAACCTCAAAATACAGTTTATTACTGTTATTAAATTGCAATTATATTTTAGAAAAATTATTAAAGACCGAAACTGTATAATAATTAGCAGTGAAAAATTGGCCCGACATGGGTCCCTGCTGGCTTAACGGCAAACCCGAAAGCTTATTACGCTAAAACTCGAGGCTTAATATCCGCGATGAGCAAAACTTAGGTAATCCAAGCTTCATACTTCACATCAAACACATAATTTGTTCAATGAGGAATTTCACAATGTAAACTTTATTGATTCAAGTACAAGGGAGTTACAAAATGATTTATATAATGTATCTTATTTATCGTAACAAAAACTACAAACTGTAAAATCCGGACAATAATCACCACTGTAAAGTTTATTAATCAAGTACAAGGGAGATACAAAATGATTTATATAATGTATCTTATTTATCGTACCAAAAACTACAAATTGTAAAATCCGGATAATTATCACCACTGTAAAGTTCATTAATACAAGTACAAGGGAGTTACAAAATGATTTATATAATGTATCTTATTTATCGTACCAAAAACTACAAATTGTAAAATCCGGACAATAATCACCATTGTAAACTTTATTAATTCAAGTACAAGGGAGTTACAAAATGATTTATATAATGTATCTTATTTATCGTACCAAAAACTACAAATTGTAAAATCCGGACAATTATCATCACTGTAAAGTTTATTAATACAAGTACAAGGGAGTTACAAAATGATTTATATAATGTATCTTATTTATCGTAACAAAAACTACAAATTGTAAAATCCGGATAATTATCACCACTGTAAACTTTATTCATTCCTTGGAATGTAATACAATCTTATTTCAACTGAAATAGGAGGCGCCCTAAACGAAGTTGGTATACATTGTAACTTAAATAAAAAACTCATTTTGAATAAAAGTCAATGTTTCATTTATCACCGTAATAAATGTTAGTTTGTAATTAAGCACAAAGTCACACAATGGGCTAATCTGTGCTTTGCCCACCACGGGTATCGAAACACAGATTCTAGCGTTGTAAATCCGCAGACATACCGCTGTGCTACGAGGGGGCGGGGAGTATTTATGAAAAGTATTTTAAGTAAATACAAAATAATTTCATGGAATGTAATACAATTTTAATTGTTACTGAAATCGTGTTTCATTATCACCTTTATAAAATAAATATTTACAGTTTTGTTTATATGTTACTGGAAAAATAAAGATAAACTGGATTAATTTATCATAGCTGTTTTTATCGCTATCTATCATCCGGAAAAATAACTTTATGTAATTGACTAGCATTTACTGTTATCTGTTATGTAAAAAAAAATAACTTTTCGTGTAAATGAGTAATTATTATCATTTCAAATTGTGATAATAGATGGTGAAAGTAGAAAATGACTACTTGGGCAGTCAAAAGACATAAATGATTTATATTGTTTTTAGATCTGAAGAAGAGCGGTAGCCTCAAGTGTTATCTTTGAATAAATTAGTTTGGCAAAATATAAAATGAAATGCTTATTTTCACTATTGTGTTAATTACAGTTCCTTGATATAAATAGTTTTTCTTGTAAATCTTTCCTGTTCTTTAATGCACCAGATTAAATTGCACCTTCTATATAAGTCAGAAGGTAGTAGTGAATCTCCAGCTCTGAAACGGCCAATGGAAACTCAAGAGGACAGACAACATGATGAGGATACTTATTGATAGTTTTCACCATTACCTCCGGTTAATTCAGATATTTTTATATCATTAATAATTACAAAACTGTAAAATATTTATACAGATTATACCTGGAGATTGTACGTTAAATATTCACACTTTTAAGATATTCATTACAAAAATACATACAATCTCTGCTGGTTTACCATCAGTCTCTGTCCATTATAGATTTGATGTCAGCTTAGTATCTTTGTGATCAATCATAGGAATATTGGTTCCACTGTTTAACAGGGTCTCATATCTAACAATTGGTGAACTAAACTAGAAAGGCAATTAGTCAGTAGCACCCACCGCCAACCCTTAGAAAAGCGGGATTTCACATTCACTTCTTTAACACAATCAAGGTCATAAACTGCTGAGCACGTTTTAGTACCAACGGGAAGCGAACTACTATACGACAACTGGTTTCTGATCAGGATTATCTCGACTTTCGTACATGAATTAACTGTGTTATTAGAAAGTTACTATAGCTTCTGTGTTTTCAAACTTCTTAAAGTAATTGAAGCGCATTTTAATCGGTGTATTTTCATGTTGAAATTCGCCATCAGGGAGCATTAGATAAACAAAATACTTCAGCAAGGTAATTCTATTCTTGACATCTATGTCACCAAAACACTTTGGGCTTTGAAAAACGATTAAATTTGGACATTTATTGATTCACGATAATTATTTTATAAATGGCACTACAGGTGTCTCACCGATCGAATTCCTTTTTATTTTAACTTTATAAGAATACACCAAAACCTATTTGTTTACTTATTTTGTTTGTTCGTTGGCGCGGGAAATCGAACCCCTGATTTTAGTGTAAACTTACCGGAGAACCAGACACCCATAAAGAAATGTTTTTTGCAAATATTCATCTTACTGGTAAACTAAAACCATTAGAAGTTTCTGCCTGTATGTATGATCTGTTACTTCTAGTGTTCAGAAATCTCTAAAATATAACTAATGTTTCTACTCTCGGTGAATTGAGTCGGTAAGTTCTGATTCAAACCATACGGTTTGGTGTTTTGAGGGTTACTTATGAATCAATCGTCTTAGCAAATTATTAAATATATTGAAAATAATAGATAAGTATATTACATAATAGACAAGAATTGAACATAAGGTATTAGAGTAGCAATTATAACTAATGTGGAATCTGAGTTCTGTGGTAAACGTCCCGTTGTTTTTGTTTATCTTTGTTGAAAGGTTTACAATATACGATTAAAAAAAATATCACGTTTACAACTCACCTAAACAGTTTTAATTTGTCTTCAAATAAACTAAACAGGTAAATGATGTTCTTTAAATTCTTTATTACGAACAATGATCCTTTACCTAAATCGTCTGTTAAACGTGTTTACAAGTTGAGCAACAACCTACACCTATAGGACTTTTCTATAAGTGGAAAAGATACACAAATAAATTTTATACACTTTTTGAAAACTAATGACTGTCTTCTTTCATACACAAATTACAATACCAATTTTTCAGCGAAAACGAAACTTGCTGTGTCTAAATTAAAAGTGCTTGGTTTGTGCTGCCATCTGTAGGTAGCAAATGAAGTAAATATAAATTGGAGTACACTGAACCATGGTTTATGTAACTATTGCAGTACACTTCTGTAGTGATATGTGAATGT